TGCCCGTGTGCATGCTAATGGTGCGGGCACGCCTATCCGCAGGGGACGGGAGCTCCGGGCGGGCTCTTCTGCTGTCACCGCGGGTGCACGTGGGGCGCGTTGCACGCTCCTCGCCCGGTAACGCGCGTCGCTCCTCAGGCACAGGTGTTGCGCCGTCACCCCGCTGCCGCCTTTGCGGGTGTTCGGGTTTCTCTTGTTGCCCAGACGTCTGATAGCGTTGCTGCTCACGCACATGCCGCGGGGCTGGACGAGGCGCTTCCCTCGGGGCGGCGGAGCTGGGGGGAGGAAGGGGACAGCAGGCAGCACCCTGCCAGCCGTGCAGGTCCTGCACGCCTGCCCTCCGCAGCCACTGCCGAGCACGCTTCTGAAGCTTTGGGATACGTGTGGGTCGAATGCCTAGCAGGAACCGTAACTTAAAAAAGCTAATGAACCGCTGCTGTTAAAAGAAAGCGCGTAGACTAGGTAATTACATGGGGAGCTTGTTTTCTGAGACCTGACAGAGAAGGTATGTGCGCATGCTGGCACCCGCTCTCAGAAAGAAACTTGCACGCCTGTATAGAGCATTATGGATTTCAGTATGGGATTATTAATGGTTTTCATGCAGCTCTGATTGTGGAATGCGTGTGCTGACCTTTTGTCCGTAGTGTTTTTGTGTTAGCTTAGGTCTCATCTGTTGGCATTGCAGGAGCCCACAGAGATCGAGGGCAGGCAGACACATACCTTCTGTCCTGTTTACCTGAAAACTGTTTTGAGCTCTCCCTCCTCCTTTTTTTTAAACACAAGGATAGCTTTTGATATGGGTAATGCCCTGGATAAAAGCCATTTGGTAACTTCTGTGGCTTTTTTTTTTTTTTTTTTTTTTTAAAAGTTCATGCTTTTCAACATACGACCTTTGCCTTGACCCATAGCACGCCCCTCCTCCCCACGGCAAGAGCACATTGACGTGTGTTTGACCTGTTAAGTATGGATTTCTCCTGTGGTGTATGCAGGTGTAATACCCTTTCCAATCCTGCTCCTTTACAAACAAGTCTGGCTCCGGTCCAGAGTTCAGATGGCAGAGGTGTATGGTGACAGTCAAAGGCCAGGAAGAGCTCATTTTAGAAATCAGTAATGATTTGGGTGCCTCAGTTTTTGTGTGCCCGGCTTGCACCTGAGGGTCCTTGAGCCCCCTCCTGCCAGAAAGCGTTGACCTCTTTGCCTTCTGAAATCACTGTTCTGTAAGATTTGTCAAAACAACTGTTCAAATTTGCTGGTCATTTTGGAAGGAAACCCTTACCACCTCTGGCTCCCTATTTTCTTGCCAGCTCCTATGTTACCTTTACTGCTGGGGTTATAACAACTCATAAAATGACATTGCAGAAGTGTGCTATTTTAAGTTCTGTAGTCGCTATATGTTGGAACCTTCACAAGGCTTAAAAGTAATGTGTGCAAATCATACCAAGTACTGAATTTTTGTAAGAACTCTGTTTATCTTCTAGCTTCTCACTTATTTACTTGAAGGTTGAAGAACATTTTTAGAAGTGCCTTTCTCTCTCTTGGAAATCCATAAACCTTTTCCCTGTATTGAAGATACAGGGGGGAAAAAGGGTGACCTTCAGCAAGAGGTTAATAATCATAGTAGCAGCAGCAAGGTACCGACATACTCAAGGTGATGTCTGTTGCTAGAATAGAATTTCAGTTGAATGGGTTTCAAACTCCAAGTGGAAGCACATTGTGGAATCTTTCTAATAGTATCAAAAAGTACTCAAATATGTTGGTCTACGTTTGGCTTGACTGGTTTGTGGCATATATTGACATGACTCTGAGATTCTGTTTTAGCGGCTTCCTTTGTTCAAAGCGAGTAAGGTGGAGTGTCTCTGTGATACACCCCTACATTGCTTTTCCTAAATTATGGAAGTGAGTGGTATTTGCTTCTAAAAACCTATTTATTCCAAAGGCATTTGGAGTCAGTTGGCTAACAAATCTTGAATGAAGAACTGTGAAAACAATTTCTCAAAGGAGCTGAAGCCTCTTAGGAAAGCATAGAAAATGCTTAGGTC